GAGCCTGGGCGCCGGCGAGGAGGTCGCGAGCGTACGGCTCGCACGACGGCTCCGCCTCGGAGAGGTGCTCGTCGAGCTCGAACGCGAGCTCGCCGGCACCGACACCGACAGCAGCCGAGACGCCGAGCGGCAGCGCGGCGACCGGCGCGTAATCGACGCAGGAGCCGAGCGCGTTGCGCACGAAGCTGGAGAAGAGCCGCTCGCGCTCGCGGCCGGCGAGCCAGGACGCCGAGGGGCTCCGTGACGCCGGCGAGGAGGCCGGGCTGTGGAACAGCGGCACGGGGCTGTGGTGGAGCATGTCCCGCCACTTGAACGGCGACGACGGCTGCGGGTAGGAGTAGCCCCCGCCCCCGCCCCCGCCGCCGACGGCCGTCGCCTCGCCGGATCTATCGTGCCAGAGCGCGCCCAGCTCGTCCTGAGCCGCGGCGGCGCGAGGGGCGGCGGTAGGTGAGGAGAAGAGGCAGGATAGCCCACCAGCGATGGCCTGGTGGCGGTGGGAGCTCGCCGGCGACGGGGGAGCCGCGGTGGCGCACGGCGCCGAGCCCCGGGAGCTCGCCTCAAGCTCCGACGACGACGACGACGTGTAGACCGCCCCCGGCGGGCTGGTGTACACGGCAATCGCCGGCACGGACATCCTCGCCGCGACCTCCCCCAACCTCTAAACCACCAAAAATCAAACTCCACAAAACCGCAATTCCCCTTCCCCCCACCAAACCAACTTCCGAAATTCGGATTTCGCGCTACCACCAATCCAACCAACTTAAATCGACTGACCACCCGCCAATCAATCAATCAATCAAATCCGAGCAGCTAGAAGGCCGCACTAAACTTAAGCTGCAGAGCACGAATCCCGCGCGAAACACTTCGATCTTCGGGCGATCAAACCGAGCGAATTCGCGGCGGGAGGGGAGATTTTGCGCGTGTTTCTTGTGGGTTCGCTCGCGTGGGCGTAAGGGGCGTTGTGAGGTGTGGATTTCGGGGGCGAGAGGTTGGAGAAGAATCTGGGTGACTCCTCGCTAACAATAGGCCGCAGCTGGGAAAGAGGAGGTGAAATGTCGGAACTGCCCCGTTCCGGGAAAGAATCTTCGCGGGAATTTAGCGGGTGTTTTTTTTTTTAGCTCATATCCGTTTCAGGCATTGCGATAGTGTCTGCTTCTTATTACCGGCGGGAATAACCTCTCTTGTTTATTCGTATCCAGCGTGGACCGACCAAGCTGTGCTTTCGTCAGCTGTAAATTATGGTAAATTTGGAAAGTATTTTGTATTTTAACTTTGATTTAAAAATTTTACATGGTCCTTTTTTTACTTGTCTTGCATCATGCTCCCTCCGTTTTCACTATTGTATCAAATTTTACCACTCATAACTCTCAAATGATTAGACTACAATAAATTTATATTTAAGGGTAATTCGATCCATGGTATTGCAAATATATCATTTCAAATAAATATCATTACAATTCGTCTACTCGTAGCCATGACACTGAAATTTTACAAAATTGTAACCGTGCCACTATCGTTACGTTTTCCATCCATTTACTCATCTGCACATGGGACCAATCATGTTAGAATCATCTTCTTCCTTTCACCCTCTCTTATCTTATTCCATCTCTGCAATTTTCAACACTGCCTCCTGTGCCAGCCACGAGCGTCCTGGCTAACTCCATCGGCGTCCGCCCCCTACCTGTTGGGGGCCTCCAGCTTGACGTCCAGTTGCAGCGCGTGTATGGCCATCATGTATCTATATCTGACCTTATCGCTGCTACTTAGTGCCACCGGCGAACCTGCGTTGCGCCTAGTTGCCGTCCCGGAGCTCGCCGCAATGGATCTGTTCGTGCCATTACCATCCTCGACCTGGTCTCTGCTAGTACCATCGGCGAACCCACGCCTCATTGCCTTCCCCGAGCTTGCTCGTGTTGTTCGCATCGCCAAACTCACCGCTACTGCTAGCACCATTGGTAGACCCGCAACTCATTGCCTTCCTCAAGCTCGTCATCATGGATCTACTCGCATTGTTCCCATCCCCAATCTTATCGCTACTGCTAGTGCTACCGGTGGATCAGCACCTCGTTGCCGTCCTTGAGATGAGCTCACTGCCACGGATCTGCGCCGTAGAGTCGAGCTCGTCGACATCAATGGGCCTCGCTGATGCCCTCGCACCTATCAACCTACCAAAGATGGATGAACCTCATCTCAGATATATGCATCCGGTTTACACTTGCCTGCATATATTTTATTTTACCCTAACGAACAACCATAATTTAACAGGGCACAAAATTGTATCGCACATATCGCACCTAAAATTGCGATTTCAATTATGTAATCACTATTTTATAATTAATTTTTTATTAAAATAGTGCTATTTAAAAAATTCGGGATGCGATCAGGTGGAGAGAGCGGAGAGGAGGTTTAATAGTATAGCCAATTACTAGCTTCAATTTATCTATAGCCAATCTAATAGCTCATTCATATAATAGTTACATACTAAACTATTAATAACTGGTCTCACCTGTCATACACACACTGCGTCTTGTAGTTTATACTGTAGCTGGTTATAAATCTGTAGCCCGTTGCTCTTTGCTCTCATAATTTATAGCCTGCTACCTGCTCTGAGAGCAGGCCCCCTCGGTCAGCTCGACACGCTGCCTCGACCCGTCGACCGGGCGCACCGTACACCAGCTAAATTATATTGCGTCGCCCCTTCGCCAACGTTACGTGGCTGGCTTGCTGGCCGCGCCGCCCGAGCTCGCGCCGGTTTCGCGACGCGCGTGCCGTTAGCTAGCTAGCGATCGAGCCAGAAAGAGGGAGTCTCCGTGGCGCGCGTCTCCGTCGATCTCGTGCCTTCCGGAAGCGGCCGCCCCGGGTGCCACGTCGCGGTGGCAGCTAGAGCCACATCGGTGAGCAGGACGCCTACACTTTGAGCCACGCATCACCTGTGTACAGTACACTACTACTAGTAGTACAGTACGTCTACAGTAAACTAATTGAGGATAGGAGTAGTACTCTCTACTAGTCGTTCAAAAAAACCAATCATAAAGCTAGATACGCATGTGTTAGTATTGAATATGACGTGTTTGTATTGAGTATTTTACAGATGAAAAAAGTATAAATTATCTCTCTAAACTGTAACGAGATTCAATTATACCTTAAACTACAAAACCAGACATTCTTTGCCCTTAACCCCAGTTTAATCCGCGGTGGTTTTGATACTACGTGGTAGTCCCGTCATAAATTTTTTTCCCCTCATCCTCTCTCTCGGGCGTCATTGGGCATTGGTCAAGCAGCGGCGCGGGCGGTCGACGCGCACGATAGCACACAGAGGCAGGCGGCGGGCGTGGCGCGGGACGCAAAGGTGGGAGTGGCGAACTCCGGGAGGGAGCTAGAGAGGCAACAATGAGCTCAACAGCGCCCCGGTACTCAACAGCTGCGGCCTCTCCCCAATCTGATGTTGCCGGCTATCTATCTGACGGGGACGACACCTTGAGGAGAAGGCCAGGGAATAGGAGGACTGGGAGAGGCGCGGCTGACTGCCGGAGGAGGTGGTGGAGCCTGCCTGTGAGGACGGGTCTCTATTGGAGCGACGTTGTTGATCTGGATCCTCGCCACCGGTCGGTGGGTATGGGTCTCCACCCTCGCCAGGTCGCCGTTTGGTTCTAGAACCGCGCGTGAGGTGGAAGGCGAAGCAGATTGAGCACCAACTTCGCAGTGCACCTCTCCTGCCACGATGCCCTCCGCAGCGACAAAGATGCGCTCGCTAGGGACGGAGAAAGCGTGGGGCAGGGGGGGTCTTTAGACCCTCCTAGCCCCTAATATACCATTAGAGCCCCTATAATACCCCCTCTAAAATTTTAATCCATATATTTATAGATGAGGGGTTATTATAGATTTTGTTTGAGGTTGTTAGAAGGGCCAAAAGGCTAAGAAGGCCCAAAAAAATCCTAACCCAACCCTATATCTCTCTTTGTTGCTCTTGTTTATTTTGGTTTAGCCCCGCTATAATTTTATCCTGGCTTCGTCACTAGCGCTCGCTGACGTGACAGGCAGAGTTGGCGGCGGTGCGGCAGTAGGGGGGCACGTGCATTGCCCCTTCTGCTAATGCAATGGCCGGTGGCGGCAAGAGGTAGAGAAAGAGGATAGGGAGAGAGGTAGAAAGTGGGCCCCACTGTTTTTTTAAACAAATGCTGACTAGACTGCCAGTAGGAATAAAACCACCGCGGATTGAACCAGAGGGATTATTTATACGGTTTGCATATTTAGGGGTGAAGAATATTTAATTTTATAGTTTAGGGATGTAATTCGGTGGACTTAAGGGGACTAATTCGTATTTTTTTTCCTCGGCGGAATGGAGAGGTACTCCTTAACCTATCGTCATACAGTATCGTTTAGTCTTCTGGAAACAACCGTACGCTTGACGAAATCTATCAGTGTTCTTTCCCAGATCACATGTGAAGTACTCGTACAGTCGTACTACTACTCCCGATATCATATCACCCATAGATCGCTAACCGTTTGCTGCTCCTGGGATCGATCTTGCTTGCATCGGCGAATTCATTATTGACACCGGAGGTTTCGACACACGCAAAGCGCTTGGGTTGGATCGGATCGCACAGCACGTGAGGATTATTAGTGTAAGATACTATCCTATCTGCCCATAAGCTGATTGTTTAGGCTGTGTGTAGTTCACATGAAAATTAAAAGTTTGGTTAGAACTGAAACGATGTGACGAAAAAATTGAAAGTTTGTGTGTAGGAAAATTTTGATGTAATGAAAAAGTTAAAAATTTGAAGAAAAGTTTGGAACTAAACTCGGCCTTAACTGACAAGTCCTCTCTGGTAAACACGGCCGATGCCTCAAAAACTAGCTATGTCTTTGTCGACAAATCCTTGGGTCAAAATCACCCAGATTTTTTCCTACCGTTAGATTAAGATCCAGAGGACACAAAAAATGCTACATATTTTTTTCTCTGACTAGTCAGATCACAAAACTATATGGGCTCGAATTCTAGCCCATAGAACAATACAAAAAATTATACAGGCCATAACTGCAAATACATCATGGCCCATAATGATCAACTTCACATCCAATAAAGGTTAGAAAAAAACAAAATAACACAGGGAGACCACACCAGTTCGCACAAATCCCCTAGATCGAGCAAAACAAATCGAGCACGCCATAGACAGTGAGGAGAACGAGAAAAAGAAGAAGAAGCAAATTCTTACCAAGAACATTGAGGTCAAGAAGTTGAAATCAACAAGACATAATCTTCCAGGTAACAAATTACCTAGCACAAAATCCACCTTTACCTTTCCCCATTGACTTCACCATATTCTGCCAGTCATCTTTTAAATCAAACAAAAACAACTCAGTTCTGTAAAAATATTGGAGAAAAGCACTTGGAATAGTGAATTTCTTTTGGAGAAAAGTGCTTGGAATAGGAAATTTCTTTAGATCAAGTAGTTAAAAGTATGTAACTTTTTCAGAAAAACTCGTAACAAAAACTATCAATCTATAGTCAGTTACAGTTACAAATAACAAAAGTTACAGATGTAACTACTGTACATCAAACTGTAACTGGGTTGTAAATGGAATCATTCTTAAATTTCTTTAAAAATTTAGTATTCATGCAGCAACATTAAAACACTTTCCCCTAGTATAACAAGCTCTAAATTATGTTACAAATATATAAAGAACTATTTATCTACGGTCAGTTACAGTAAGAAATAACAAAAGTTACAGATGTAACTACAGTACATTTGAACAGTAACTGGGTTATAACTGGAATCATCCTTTGATTTTTTTTTAAAAAAAATTCAGTACTCATGCACTAACTTTTTTTTTGCCTATGACAAAATGTTCTAAATTATATTACAAATAACCTAATCATGTAGGGTCAGGTATATTGCAATCTCAAAAATCAGGAGATACACAATCAGATGGATATGAAATGAGAAGCAAAATTGTGTCTGAAGAAATGAGAAGCAAGAAGACAGTTAAAGGTGAGAATCATTCTCACCTAGCATTATGGACCATTTTTTATCTTGTCAGAAAATGTCATGTAGCAAAAATTTATATACAACAAATTAGAGATAGTAGCATGATAAATTTTTAAAGAACTATATATCTATATCCAGTTACAGTGAGAAATAACAGAAATTACATATGTAACTACAGTACATATTGACTGTAATTGGGCTTTAACTGCAATCATGCTTGAATTTCTTCAAAAAATTCAGTACTCATGCAATAGCATTAACATTTTTTTACTATTATGACTTGTTCTAAATTGTACTACAAATGATTGAAACATGCAACGCCTGATAGATTAGAAGCTCAAGCAACAGTGAATACAGAGTCAAATAGATGTCAAAGTGACAAAATTTTCTCAGAAAAATTAATAAGCAAGAAGACACTTGAAGGTCAGAACAATGGACAGATAGCATTATGCACCAAATTTGATCTTGTCAGTCATAAAATCTAGCACAATTTTGTATACATGAAAGCATGATTTTTTTTTGAAAAACTATCTATCTCCAGTTACAGTGAGAAGTAACAGAAGTTACATATGTAACTACAGTACATATTGACTGTAACTGGGATGTAACTACAATCATGCTTGAATTTCTTCAAAAAAATTTTGTCTAATATACATTATCTAAATTATATTACAAATAACCTATCTATGCAGGTTCTGTTACAATTCGATCTCAAGTAACAGTGGATACATAATCAGAGAGATCTGAAAGAGATAACATTAATTTCGTCTGATGAAAAAAGAAGCAAGAAGACAACTAAAGGTCATAATCATGATAACCTAGCATTATGGTCCATATTTGACCTTGACAGACAATTTAATCTAGCACATATATTAGAGATGGCGGCTTTGAAAAATCTAAAGACCTATCTATCTATAGTCAGTTACAGTGAGAAATAAGAAAAGTTACATATGTAACTACATTACATCTGAACTGTAACTAGGCTATAACAGCTTTCATGCTTGAATTTCTTCAAAAAAATTCAGTACTCATGCAGCAGCATTAAATATTTTCCCCTATTATAACAAGTTCTAAATTATGTTACAAATAATATAAACATGCAGGGTCTGATGGGTTACAGTCTGAAAAATCAGGGGATATGCAATCGGAGAGATATGAAAGTGACAAAATTTTGTCCAGAGAAATAAGAAGCAAGAAAACATTGAAAGGTCAGTTATCATGCTCACCTAGCATTATGCACCATAAAATGATCTTGGCAGACAATATAATCTAGCATAAAATTATATACAACAAATTAGAGATTGTAGCGTTGATAAATTTTCAAGGACTATATATCTATAGTTAGTTACAGTGAGAAATAACAAAAGTTACATATGTAACTACAATACATATAGACTGTAACTGGGCTAAAACTGCAAGCATGCTTGAATTTCTTCAAAAAATAAAGAATTTCTTCAGAAAAGGAGTCACTTTGTCACAATGGACTGAAGATTTTCCTCAAGTGAAAATCATCTTCAGACAGTGGTGTTTAACAAAGCACAACAATTAGATTAGAGCCTAGGATAAAAAAAAACAGAGCATTGTGGTCCAAACGGTCATATCTCCAGTTGTGTACAAATTTGCCCATATATTAAATTTTGTACATAATTTGCACATATCTCAAACTTCTGTGCACATATATTAAAATCACTCGACAACAAGATGTGACAAGTTAGCTGATGCAGAAGGGAATGGACCAGACAGGGTGTTGTTGTTGAGCCTCCCGATTAAATTTCACAGCAAATGAGTTAACTGACTAACAAGCTCCACACATAATTAACATGGGAACAATATTGGGATGGGACGATGGGTCATTCAGAATAAAGAAGAAAAAAAATCATACAGATATTTCAGGCATGTGAATACCTCCAGGCACCCAAGTGACCTTGGTTTTGCTACCATTGAAATGCATTAGATCAACATTAGACTGAAACCCTCCAAATTATTTTTCAGTTTGCTGAAGTATGAGATTTTAAAAAGCTCATGTCGACTGAAACTGTGCAATAGCCTGCTCCAAGATTCAAAAAATACTGACAATTCAAATAGATTTACGAGCGTGCTATCCCCTGTTCCCAATTCAGAAATAGTGCCAATTATGTTCCCAAGTTCAGAAATAGCGCCAATTCAAACAGATTTACGATTTACGAGCGATTGACAATGAACAAAAGTTCAGAAGAGAAGAAAGAGCAGATGCAACCAATAGCCCATAATTTCTCAAAGCAACAGGGACCAAGTTCAGGTATTGGCTTGCTGCTAACTCATTTAGATCAGCACTGAAAAGTTCAGAACATGTACAGGAATTTTATAAACCAAATAGTACAGTAGAATACAATCTGAAGAAAGCAGAACGCATGTAGGGGTTTGGGTTTAATTTAACCAAGCAACTCAGCATACTGGGAAATCAAACCGTACATCTCTGAAACGAAATGATTCATATGCTGCAGAAGGCAACACAAAACATACTTGGGGTTCAGTTAGCATGCATATGTAAAACGAAATTCTTCAGATGCATAAGAATTCAGATATATGCAGGGAGTTGACAGATAAATCATCTCTGAAACGAAATGCTTCACATGCAGAAAAATTCAGACTTATGCAAGGAGTTTAACAGATCAGTCAACTAATCACTGAAAGTGAAATGCAACATTCAGATAAAGTTGCAATGATGCTTCCCTACTATATTCAAATCACACATAAATCAAAGCAAAAATAATCAACTCATGAATCTGACCCCCTCCCTGAAGAAAATTCATGCAGGGATCCAAAAAATGATCAACTATCTGGGTGATTAGAAAAAACCCCTAAATCCACCTCGAATTAAACCTTTAACTCCATCAAATACCCCTGAATCCAACCCCCAACATGAACACCCCTGAAGAAAAATCGAACCAAAAATACAAAAACCCTCGTGGATTAGAAAAAAAAACATAGAACACCATCGAATCTGGTCGTTTGCAAACAATGGACTAGTAACAAAACACCCTAGACTGAACTGAATCAAACTATAACTAAAAACTTAGGGAATCCAAAACCTAAACGGATTCCAAAACTAAAACAAGTGATTATGAATCAGATCCATACGTTGGGAGCAAAAAAAATCGTCATGTATTGACCCGAATCTTCTAAACCTAGCCCTATTGACATTGAAAAAACCAAAACACAAGCTAATGATGCCAGCAAATCAGGGAAGAAACTCAAAAAACACTCTCTCTCGAGTTGTCTCCCCCAGCGAGCGCGCGCGCTCTCTCTCTCCCGCCGGGGAGCTGCTCGTGCTCTCTCTCGCCGGCGAGCTCTCTCTCTCTCGACGGAGAAAACGAGAAGAGAAAAGAAAGAGGAGAAAGAGATGTAGAGAAAGAGCGAGAATAAAGAAAGAGAGCGAGGAAACAACCAACGGTTACGGACATAATAGCGCGGAATCCAAAATTTAACATGGGTTGGCCCACATTGACTCCTAGGCCATCTGCTCACAGGCCACACGGTCTCATCCACACAGGGAAATGCACGAATCATGGCGCAAATCCTACGGATAGAAAAACGACAAATATTGGGGGTGAAAATCTGTTGACAAAGATCTAGCAAAATCGTTTGCGTTTTGATTGACGAAGATGGATTAGTTACGGGCCTGCTGCTGCGGAGGCTGAAATTTTATTCGGCCCTGGACTAATACCTATCAGCCCAAGTAAATTACCTGGAAATTGGGCCTACATAATACTGGAAGTGGGCCCTTGGTGTTTGTGCTCTAGGAGCTGCAGGCCCATATATAATTTCTCAATCCTTTTAGGCAATTAATTTCCTCCATTTGTAGCACATAACTACATGAGAAGATATGTCACGTGAACTCTATATTTAGCATAAACCTGAAAACTACCACTGAAAAAAAGTAAACGTTTAAGTTTTATTTATCTAGGATTTAAAAGTTTTACTCATAGTGACGTGAATACATTTTAGACGTTCATTTCTGTCTTCTAATATAAGGGATTTTGACATTCTGCTTGTACTGCTTGACCACACGTTTTATTTAAAAAAATTGTGCAAATATAAAAAACAAAAAAAATATGCTTAAAGTACTTTGGATAATAAAGTAAGTCACAAATAAAATAAATAATAATTTCAAAATTTTTTGAATAAGACGAATGGTTAAACAATGCAAGGAAAATACCAAAATCTCTTATATTAAGGAGCGGAGGGAGTAGTAGTTTTCAAGTTTGCGGGACATATGAAGTCTGCACTACATATTTTCCCTTGCTACATTGGTGCATATCCTGAACACACATCTTCTTTGTTTATGGCTTATTAGATTAATCTGAAAAAAATTTGGAAGGGATTATTTCCACGTGTACCATTATTTTTCTCCAAACTCTTTCAATCTCGTCAGCAATCTCTTTAGGAACGGGATTAACCGAGCAAAGCTCAGTAGGATACATTCTGCCTAGCCTAGCTATTGAGATTGACTATGTCCGTTTTCACCAATAAGAGTGTTCGATCCTATAATTGCCTACCATAATATCTTTACAAAGCTTGATTAAATTAAAGAGAGTGCAGTGATGCAAGGCCATAAAACCCAAAATGTGACCCGGCGAAAAATAAAACCCAAAATGTACATAGGCTGCAAAACCATGGAAAGGGGAGGGCACCCGGATTAAATTTACTCAAAAAGAAATATCTGTCACCATAGGATGACTGTCCCATACCTTTTCATTCCATGATGCTAATTAAGCAACTAGCTAGTTGCTATCTCGATATGTCTTGGTAGTTGGTTATCCATGCATCCAACATCACCTCTGCTAGCAGAGGCAACTTTTGAACATAAGACTGCTTTCATCACTCATCACAATTATACAATGATGGCAAAACAAAATGTTTACGTAGCAAAGGTCGTAGGAGTCTAGAAGACATGGACAGTTCTCTCATGATCTCCTTGGATAATTTTCACCGCCACCAACTTGTACTTTTAATAAGCCCTAGAGTTGATGCCATATCTGATTATCTGATGCCCCTTGAGAGTGATTTACTCGGAAATTAAGGCCAACCCATAGCAAACCTACTCTATAGACCAATTTGCAATTATTTATAGCCTGTTATCAAGATGAAGGTGTTGACACCTCATAGTTAATTAATTAGCTTGTGCAGAAGATCAACAGCACCTCAATTTTTTTCAGCTAAGTTGCTGTTTCAGAACGTTCCCTGTGCTATCAGCTCTTCTAAAAATAATCATCATTTAGCATTATTGGCTTATTGCCGCAGAACATTTTTCACGATCTCATCCTCTCTGTACGTTCCACATACACTAGCTACTAATCGCTGTCCACAGATCATTTAGACCATAATTAACCATCATTTGATAAAACATGCAACCCAGCATTTCTCTATCAACGATTATTATGCATTTCTAACAGACGGCACAGGAGACATGCCTGTCTGGATATTGTCTGAAAAATTATCACCCCCTGATTTTGTCTGACAATTATCACCACTGATTATCATTCTCACACTCCATTATTTGGATTGATAGATACGGATCCTAATAACTACAATCTACTGAGCATATTAGCTGTTCCTGTTGGTCAGGAAACTGCACGTGTAACTGCATAAGCTAAGTACGTGTGTACGTCTGTCTGTTCCAACCTGCAAATCAGCAGCTTGCTGAATTATTAACTGCAGGTGTATCTGCATAAACAAAGTGTACATTTATCTGATTCATTAACCGTTTCAGTTGCACGGGACGCTGCAATGTCGGGCAAAACACAGGCAAAGCAGAGGTAGCAGGCTTGCCGGCCATCATGGTCAGAGCTCGGAATTCTGAAGTCTGAAGATAAATAAGCATGTACGTGTCTGCAATTAACTCTTCGAGCGTGTGACCATGACTTTTTTTTTAAGTACTTGTATTTTCCATTCAGAAGATTAACTAACCTGCCTCCTGCTGAAATGTCAAAGGCAGCAGCTAGCTAGATATAGATTAATTACTCGCTGCTTTGCTTGCGTGCTACTCATTTCCAAACCAGATTAACATACAGAATAGTATATACAAGTAAGCAACAGATGCGTACGTGCTCATTATAACCTGTAATTAACCAAGCAAATTGTGAACTTCGAATATCGGTATGAAGCTGTACGTGAGAGTATGATAATCTAAGCGTGTAAGTGGTGGCAGCCAACTAACTCGCCGAGCTCTCAGCTGCGTACGATTTGACATGAAAACCACGGCCACTTATGCTCCAAACAAACCGCAGCACACATGCAAAACGAGCAGCGTGTACAAGACACTACGATGCATATGCTGATCAGCTGATATGTGTAAAATGTGTTCGTATTTAAATTTGGCAATTTGGTCTGAATATTTCTTTTTGGCAAGTTGGCAGTATAACTTGGAGATATGTTACTTCTTCAGTTCTGAAAAAACAAAGAGATGTGTACTTCAGTGTACTGCTTCGTATACATCATTTTTTAGGGTCTGTAGTTGTTGGTGACCAAGTTGCACAAAACTCTGAAACAAAAGCAAACAATTCTTAATGGGTTATCCATGCTATGGAACAACGCTAAAACCAGCCGAGAATAAGAATGAGCCATACTGATTCATATAAAATTCTGCTTAATCTGAAAGGGGAGAAGCCGTACATGCGTGTCCCACACAGAATAACTTGAGGATGGAAGAACTTTAGCCATAAGTTTCACATACATAATGCATTGCCATTCTTAATTTCAAACTGGTTTCAGATTCGTATGGTCGTCCAGTACAGTTCTCTATCGCATGGCCCTGGCGAAAGCATGAGGTATAGTTTCAAAAAAGAAAGCATGAGGTAAGTATGACCGTCAGAATGAGAGATAAAAAGATAAGTAAAATCATGGACTCCATTGACCACTCCCATCCAGTAGTTCATCTACTCCCTCCGTCCCTTAATATAAAGAATATTCACTAGTATTATTTCTCTTAATATAAAGAATATTCACTAGTATTATTGTAATGTTTGACTACTCATCATATTAAAAAAATAGTGCAAATATAAAAAACAAAACGTTGTGCTTAAAATACTTTTAGATAATAAAGTAAGTCACAAATAAAATAAATAATAATTTTAATTTTTTTTAATAAGACGAATTGTCAAACAATCGAGCATTACAAAATCTTTTATATATCTTTATATCATAGAGACGGAGAGAGTATCTCGAACGTGTTGCGTTGCCAGTTTACGTAGCATTACAAAAGGCTGACATGCATTTTTGTTGCAAAATTACTTGAACAAGAAGAATAAAAAATGCTGTCAAATCTTACGTCAGAAATGATGCATAGGTGACCTCCCTTAATACTACTTTTCAGTAGTTTTTGGACGGTTATGTTCAGGTCATTGATGACATAATTCACGTATCAATGCCATTTTTTTTATGAACCAGCATAAGTCGATGTTAATTTTATTGAATAGAGTAGAATTAAATACAATGGCCTATACAAAACTCAG